CCATGTCCTGCGGTGTCATTATGCCCCTTGGTGAACACATGTCTTCTGCTCCCTCTGCCCCTCGGAGTGCTCTTCCCTGTTATTTTTCCTGCCATGCCTTGATGTTGCTCAAAGGGTTTGGGAAGTAGCCCTGAGGGCCCAGAGTGGGTCCAATCCACTCCAAACTTGTCACTGGGCAATCAGTTATGGCTCTTCTGGCCCTTTTGGTGTCCTAGAACACCAGGGCTAGGGACAGAAGTTACCAGTTTAAGTGAGCAGAAACTGGTTTAAACCTGTAACAGAATAGAAGCTCAGTGCACATAAACTACTTTCAAAATGGCTGAAACTGGTTTAAGATAAATCTGGTTGAATGTAGTATCAGACTTAACTGATTTGGATCAAAACATTTTATGAAACTTCTGTCCCAGACCCCTTCCTGATTCAAGTTAAATCACAGTCCCCCAGCAACCCAGTATGCCTTGCAACCTTGGACTGGTCTGGACTGGGCTGTCTGCTCCAGAGAGCAGGGTTGGTCCCACTCCTCTGCTCCCTAGCAAACCCCAGCTGGGGTCTGGGGCCAGAGAAGAAGGTTAAACATCCCTTCCCCCTCTCAAACTTACTGCTGGCTGCAACTGTGGACTACAAATCCCAGAGGTACCTGGAAGCTGGAAGAGGAAGTGATGAGCAACCTTGCAAAGTCCTGCTGCTGTAATTGTGGACTGCAAATCCCAGAGACCTTGGGAGTAGCAGGAAGAGGAAGTGAACACACAGCCAGAGAGCTGTGCTCTAGTGCCCCCTGGCTTCTGGCCTGAACCACTGCAGGCATGTAACTGCATTTCCTCAATCAAAGGTAAATGTCTGTTCACTTCTGCTTCAATTTAATTTGTCCAGTTTAGACTAACCTGCTAAGACTGAATCAATTCAGCCTTGGGTCTTTTGACTGTCTCTACTTAGCCCAGGTGCCTTATGGGCTGTGTTCATGGCCTCCATCCAACCCTATAACCATAACAATGACTCACAGATGTCTCACCAAATTTTCTCACAGCAGCTTGTACAGGCTTTGGCCCTCTTGGTCTTGGCCTGTCAGTTACTCTAGCTGCAGACTCCTTTTCTCCTTTTGCCTAATGGGCAGCTTACCTCTCCCTGCTGCAGTTTACCCCCATAAGGGTAAAACTTGCAGCTTGCAGCCTTTGTCCTCTGGCTGCCTGGAAATCTGCATCACTCATTTGGCTTATTATTGCATTTCTAGCCTTGACTCAGCTGCCCACCTGCACAACCAGGGTAGCATGCTGTGCCTTTCCCTTTAAATAACAGTGGTCTTTGGCTCCCTATTACACTGGTACAGGTGAAGCCTGGGATTGGGCTTCCCCTGTACCAGCAGTAACACATGATGGGATCTGATTTGCAACCCCACAGTCACACCTGCCCTGCACATGTGATATGGCAGGAGGCAATTGCGTGGATTGTGCATTGGATCCCAACACACCTTTGCCTGCATATGTAGAGGGGCCTAGAGACATTGGTCTGGGAAACAAGTGTACTTTTAAAAAAACAGCAAAGAGTTGGACAGAAAGACAAGTAGATAGTGCCCAACGCCTATTGGCATAACTGTACTATTGCTCAATCCTTTATCAGTCAACCACATAGTGCCAGGTCCCAGAGCTATTTTGTTAGATTAAAGCTATATATTCATTTTTAAAATATCTGCACAAACTTTTATATTTAATTTCCTTTTATATAAGATAATGTTACTGTTACAGTGGTTCCAGTTGGGCTTTGAAGTTTGCACTTCACTGTCACTACACTGTGTAGCTGCTAATCATAAAAGAAAACCTTCTGCAAACTTGAAGGCTTGCAGCAATGCAGTCCAGCTCTGGGCCACAACATGTGTAGAAAGAAAAACAAAAGAAAACAAAAAATACTCTAAAACTGTAACTTTTTTCAGATGAAGGCTTAGAATTTGCAAAATTGTCAGTCAACAAATTATAGCAAGAGCTTCCTAGCAGGAGGTCAATCTTTTTATGACATCATTGATTTCCCCCCACAAACACATACATTTTTAATGCAAAATTAAAGGGTTTTAGGAGCTGCTAACCATGTGTACTTTACTGACAGTCCCCTTCTGCAAACCACTTCAGTATTCACTAGGGGTCAGAAAGAAACTGATGTCTTCGCTCCAAGCATCTACCTGCAATTTATTTTAGTCTTTTTTTTCCTGCAAGACCAAGTAGAGCCTATTGCACACTATGGCCAGGCTGCTATTGAGACTTCACACTTTGGGCCCTTTTTCTGCAAAAGGCCTCTTCAAGGAAGTTCTGATTCCATATTTTTTAAAACAGCATGTAAGTGCTCTGTTGTTTTTCACTCCATCGTATTTTTTAAAAATTTGGAGACATTTTAGTGGAACTTCACAGAAATAAAATCACCAGCATTTCATCCCAAACAGTGAATGTTTTAGGAAGGCATAGAAGACCAAAAATATGGTGTTTGACTTGTAAAATGTTTTGTAATCTTAATCATAGTGAACATAGTGATCCGATGCCTAATTTTTAGATCTGTAGCCCTGCCTCAGTTTCCAGGTCAGTTTTTTTCTTTAAAAAAATTGAAAGGGGGTTGATACCATTAAAAATATGTCCCAAGGGTAAACTAGTATCTGGTAAATTTAAGGAGCAGCTGGACCACCCTGATAGCTATATTGGCTAGCTTTGGAACTCTATGTAGAAGAATCCCACACCTAATGAATCCTGAGCAAAATAGCAAAATGCCTGTGACTTTGTCAGGAGTTGGCTGGGATGATGGAGTTATCGTCCTGTTTCACACTGAGAAACAGAACAAAGACAGCGTGTCACAGGGCAGGGTAGTCCAGGAGCGGCCGTGATCTCCTCTGGCGCCCCTACCGTGCCAAGTTGCCTGTTAGCACCCTCTTTCTCGCCCACCACGACTTTGCTGTTTCTTTAAGATTAATGGGAGGCTGCCTTACTTGGCCCCTTGGACCCGCTGCTCTTACTCTACCGGTCCCAGCTCTGTACCAGATGAACTTGGTGCCCTAACCCTATGGGCATCGCGTGCCTCCAACCTCCCCTGTAGCACGCCCCAAGCCTCGCAGATCTTCCGGACGTTGCCTTGCCTGTACTTATCTTAGTGACCTCTCCTTAGTCGTCTCACTTTCATGCACGCCCTCTCCGGGGCCTCTCACTATGTGTCTCGCCCTCTCCGGGGCTCACCGCAATGCTCTCGCCCTCGCACCCCCAGCCGGGGCCTGTGCTTCGCGCTTCTCGTGCTCCCTGCCTGCACTCGGGCCTCGTCTCCCGTGCTTCCTGCAGTCCCATTGCCCGCACTGGGGCTTTGTCGCCTGCGCTTCCCGCGGTAAGTTACCCACACTGGGGTTTCATCACCTGCGCCTCCCGCGGTTGGGGCTCAGGTGGCCTTAGCCATGCCTGGCCCCCTGACCCATCTTCTGGGTCCTATGCCCTGCTTGGGCTCTATTCCCGATACTGCCCCGCTGGGCTGGGGTTGGGACACCCCACCAGCTCCGCCCAATGTCGCCCCACTGGGCTGGGGTCGGGACACCCTGCCTACGCAGCACCACCCTACAGCGCACCCTGCTGTGCCCTCCTTGGCACCAGATTGCTGTGCCCTCCAAGGGCACCAGGAACCCCCACACTATTGGGGTGCTCCCCTGAGGCCTCCTCCTTCCCCTACAGCCTCACCCGATCCTCCGGTCTTACACACACAACCCAACAGAAACTCAAAGCCATAAGCCACCCGGCTGCAACACAAAATCAACCTACCGGCTATAACATTCCACGCCACCCTGGCTCTCCATCAAGTCTCCGTGATAGAGGCCTCTCCATCCCATCACCACGCGGACGCTCAAGCGCTCAGGCCGTTCTGCTTTGCTTTGCTCTGCTCTACAACAGAGTTCCTGCTCCTCAGCCTGTTAGAGGGGAACTGCCTCTGGCCTCAGCCTGGCTGTTGATAAAGGCCAGGCCCTGCCCCCTTTCAGTCACCTGACCTACTCAGTTGCTTTGGCAACCCCCGGCTGTGTTGCCCTGCTGACTGACAGCTAAATCCGCATCACCGGTGCCAGTAGCAAGCACCCTAGTGCCCTGCTACACAGTGCTTAAGGACCCTGATGGCCAAGGAATTGGTTTTGACTTCCACCTGAAAGATAGGACCTCCTTCAGCACAGTACCGTGAGCAGCAGGCTAGGCCAGGGGTTTTCAACCAGGGGTACTTGGGATGGCCTCGGGGGTACTCTTCCGCCGCTAGCACTTCTGCCGCTGCTGTGCCACTGGCAAAGTCACCGATCGGCCACTGGGGGACTCCCCTTTCCCCTACTCGTCTGGCCGCTGGGGGACTTCTGCCTTCCTGAGAAGAGAGATACTGCAAGGGGGACAAAGCAATCCTGACCAAAATCTGATAAACTGTC